CTGCACCTGGACACCAGCGGTGCCATCCACACACTCCTGGGCCAGCCAGTACTGGTAGCTGCATGTTGTCCAGACCATCTGGCATGATAAGCAATGGCTGGAGTCCTTTTGCATGACCCAGGCCACCTTGCAGAAGCTCCTTGAGCAGCTCCACCCACACCTAGAGCAGCAGGCCCCCACCATATGACTGCCCTTCCCCACAGAGACCCAGCTAGCCATCACCTTGCTCAAGCTGACCATGCCTGCCAGCCTCACTATGTTGGCCACCTCTTTGGTATGGGAAAGGCCACCACTGGGGACGCCATCCTGGAGGTGTGTGGCACCCTCCAGGATGTGTTGAGGCATACTGTGCTCTGGGTGCATGACCCTCTGGAGGGACTGGTGGGGTTCTGTGCTGTGGGCTTCCCCCAGTACATCGGGGCCTGGATGAGACCCACATCTCTGTCACCTGCCCACCCCACAGCGACCTCCCCTACCACAGCTGGCGGGGCTTCCACTCTGTCATGCTCCAGGCTGTTGTCAAGCACTGCAGTGCCTTCACTGACACGAGCATCAGCTGAGGGGCAGCACGCATGATGCCTCTGTTTTCCACAACTCTATTTTGCCAGCCCTGGAGAGCAGGCACTTTATGCCTGGGGTGCCAGACCTCCAGCTGGGTACAGTGGCAGTCCTGCCCCTCCTCACTGGGGACCCTGCCTAGCTGCTCCTCTCTTGGCTCATGCAGCCCTACACCAGCCAGCTGGTCCCCCACCAGACACACTTCACTTGGTGCCTGGGCCAGACCCACACACTGATGGAGCGTGCCTTCAGCTGCCTGAAGGGACACTGGCACACCTTCACCACCTGCCTCAGAGTCACCAAGGCCAACATCCCTTGGGTCATTGTTGCAGCTTGCATGCTACATAACATCTGCAAGGCCTGAAGGGAGTTGCTTGCTGAAACCTGGGTGAAGGAGACAGCAGGCAGAGGACGCCTGGCACTGGGAGCACCAGTGGCAGCAACAGCAGTGACCCCTTGGCTGCGGCCCCGAGCATGCCGCTTATCCACTAGTGGGGACCAGGGCACCAGGTGTGAGAGGTGCTGGCTGACCACCTGCTCCTGCATTCCCCACTGTAGCCTGCCTGGACCCTACGATCCCATCCCCACAGTGCTCCCCCAGCACCACATTCACTGTGGACAGTTCTCAGAAAAGCACTTTTGTCCTCTTCCCCCCACAACAAAGCCCCCCCCACCCCACACCAGACCCTGTCTCCCCCTCTCCACTTCACCACAGAGCCTCTCAACCACCCACCTCACCCACCACCAATAAAGAACTCTCTGCCCTACACAGACAACCCTTACGCAGACCCCTAGGCGGTGCTGCGTTTGCCCTTCTGCGGTGGGGAGCAGTGGGCTAGGGTGCCTAGGAGGTGGAGCCTAGGGACAGGCATCCAGCATCCCAGTCCCTGTGGTGGGGCAGAGCAGCAGCTGCCATTCCCCCGAGCAAGCCCCGCCAGCCATTCGCTGTTTGTGAGAGTTTGCAACATTTTTGACATAACATGTTCAATCAGGGTTCGAATTACAGGGGAGCTGTACGGGGGGGGGGCTGAGCCCCGCCATAAAAGACAAGAGCCCCCCTGTAAAATCTGAAAATCATAATTTAGGGGGTCTCTGATTTTGTTAGGGCATCATAATGGGCAGCCCGATTTTTTTTTTAAGACTCCCCCAAGAGTCAAAGAGTAATTCGAATCCTGTGCTCAGTATCAGGGGGCTGTGTGCTGCCTGGCCTCGAATTGCGGGTCATGCATGCACGGATGCCCGGGGACCATGATAAGTTGGCCAGGCAGGACCTGGCACAGGCAGCCACTGGCTGAGCCCCCCCATCCCCCCTCACTCCCTGCTGGGTGCTGGCTGCAAGCAGCCTGCCTCCCCAGGCCCCTTTGCAAGCCAGGACAAGCCTGGCTCCTGGGAGCATGTGCTGCCGTGGCTCCAGAGCCACTCTTCCCCTTCTGCTCTTGCAGGCCAGCCTGTCTCTTGTGCTGCCACCAAATCCCCAGTGCCCAGCCTCAGGGTGCAAGGGCAAGGGGCTCCCAGCCAACTGGGGAACAGAGCTGTTGGCACCTCCACCCTCCCTCCAGGGGGTCCTCTCCAGGAAGGTACCCAGGGGCCAGCCTCCCACTGCACCAGGTCTGCACTCAAGCATGCCCCTGCTAAGAGTATCCCGGGCACAACACGAGGAGCTGTTTACATGGACAGAGGGGTGTCCAACCCACTATGCCCTGCTGCTGATTGCCATGGTGCCTCAGGTGCACCTGTGAATGTGGCATGGGACCCTGAGCTTCAACAGTGTGGAGGGCAAGTTTGCTCTGCCCTGCAACCTCTGTCACTGCCTGGAGGGCTGCCTGTGGCTGCGCTACACATCCCTGCCCCCCACAACCGAGGACATCACTGCTGGCATGGACGCATTCCTCCACATGTGAGAGGCCTGTGCTCGCCTAGCTGCAGGGGCACAGACTGCTCAATAAAGTGTTGTACTCTCTTCCACCTCCCTGTGTGGTGTTGGGGAAGGGGGAAGTAGGGGGGCCTGGGACCAGGGGAGCATGGTTGGGCTGGTCAGGGACGGGGCGCAAGGCCAGGGGCAAGGGCAGAGGTGGGGAGGGCCCTCCTCCCCTTGCTTCCCCTCCACCCCCAGTACAGAACTTACCAGGTGGACGTGGCAGGAGTGCCCAGAGACTGGAGTCAGTCCTCACTGGTGGCAAGGATGGCTCCCAGTGGTGTCCTGGAGTACAGCATCCAGCTGCCTGGGCAGAGGCCACCTCCAGGGAGGAGCTGGAGCTGCTAAGGGCTGGCAGTGCCATGGCCAGCTTGACCTCCTGGGTGGGGCTGCACACCTGGGGCTAGTGGGCTAGTGGGGCTCCCAGAGCTGCTTGATGAGGCTGGGGACAGGGACTGTGGCAGGACGGGCTCCTGGTGGACTGAGAGGCTCTCAAGCAGTGATGCATCACCGTGGGTGCCAGGCTGCAGTGGAAGCTTGGGTAGGCCACCCGTGCTTGAGTAGATGGCATGGCTCAGGCCAGGGTCCCGGGATGCGAGGATGTCATCTAGCTGCTGCATAAAGGGCATGGACTTGCGGGCAGTCCCCAACCAGCGGTTGTGGTCGGTGACAGTGACCCACTGTGCCTGCAAGGCCTTGACCTTTATGCAGCACTGGCACACTGACCCACCATACCCGCGCTGCCACATGCAGCCTGACAGGCCCTCACAAACGTGCATGTTGGAGCACTCACCCCCACAGTGTGATGAGGTGTGAGGTGGTGGCACAGAGATTTGCCCAGCCACAGGCAAGAAGGATTAGTGGTGTATAGAGTTCCCTGCACCTGGTTTTTCCAGTTCCCCTTCTCCTTGCTGTTGAGAAGATTAGTCTCAGGTTCTTCGGCATTCTCTTTATAGTGCTAATCCTTTCTCAGGCAACTAGCTGAATGGTGCCAATAGGTTTGCTGGGAGGGTAACCAGAGCCGGGCTGGGAGGCCACCACCTGCCATATCCCCTCTGCCAATGCTCCTGTCCCTATGAAACAGGATCTCCATGCTCATGATAAGGGGGTTTGGGCTTCTTGGAGGTATAAAAGCACTGCAGGGCCAGCATTAGAAAGGTTAGCAATGGCTGACTACTTAGGCACAGTGCTCCTGGTTCTGCTCTCTGTGGATGCAAGGGCAGGGCTGCTGCTGGAAGGTGCTAGGCCCTACATTTCCCTAATTGACGTGTCCAATGGGGGACTCTGGGGTGACTGGGCCTGGCCTGAGATGTGTCCAGAGGGGTTTTATGCCAATGGAGTCAGCTTTAAGGTAAGTCTGAATGCCTGGGATCCATTCCTTATGGGCAAGTGTCCTGCACTGTCCTGTACACTCGAGCCCTGTTCTCCCCTCTTTGGAGAACAGCTTTCTGCTCTGATGTCATTTTGAATGAATGGGACATTTTTCTCCCTTCCTAAAGGAAATCTGTACCCATCCTGGGTACTGAGGTCTCTTTCCCCTGGAGTGCAAATGGAATTCAGTTTCATTTCCTTCCCTCTGCTTTGTTGTTACCCCTTCCCAGGTAGAGCCACCCCAGGGGTCCCACAGGGATGACACAGCACTGAATGGGATCCGACTGCACTGCTTCCAGGGAAAAGCCCAGGACAGCATGTACACAGTGGAGTCCCAGAGCGGCAAGTGAGTGACCCCACTCTGCTACCTCCATCCCATTCTCTCTGTGTGATAGCCCCAACCCCCTGCTTCCTCAGGGCTCTGCACTTCATTTCTCTATCCTCCCTGGGCACCACAGAATCCCTTAAGGGCACATCTACCCCTTCTGGCTAGCATCTAGACCTCCGTTGCCCACCCCCCACCCCTTCACTTGACAGGCCCTGGGCATTGATCTCCATGACTCACTCATTCTTTCTTTCTTTTTTTTCTTCATTTTTTTTTCTTTCTGCAGGTGGGGTATCTGGTCTCAACCCAAGTGGTGTCCCCATCATGGCTACCTGGTGCGCTTTTCACTGAGGGTCCAGCCCCCACAACATGGCTTTCTTCATGATAACTTGGCAGCCACCAATGCCCGTTTTACCTGCTCTGGTGGGGAGACCCTAGAGCCACCAGGGCCAGACTGGGGGGAGTGGGGTGTCTGGAGTCAGTCATGCACTAAAAGTATATGTGGCATCGAAACACGGCAGGAGGCCCCCCGGGGAATGGGAAAAGATGACACAGCCCTCAATGATGTACGCTTCTTCTGCTGCAACCACTGAAGCACCACTTTCAGCTCCCAACCTCAGACACCTATACCCAGATCTGTCCTACAGAGCTCTGGTCTGTCTCCAGAGCCCCACCCCAAGAGACCCTAATTCTAGATCTGCTAGCATGGAGCTTTCCATAGGGTCCACATGTTGAGAGCCCTGAACTCCAGAGTATTCACCCACAGATGCTAGGGGGCCCTCCAAAGTCCTCACTTGCAGAACCCCCAACCTCTAGATCTACTTTCACAGAGCACCTACCCTCCTTCTAGATGTCCAGTCTGTCCCCAGAGCCCTAATCCTATGGATTCCACCTCACATATATCCCTAATGATCCCCACCCAAGGATCCAGCTATTCCTTGATCACTCACCATGGGATAGGGTATCTCTGGGAACTTCATTGACTATTCCCCAAAATCTGGTCTCACCTCCCAGAATCATCCCCAAACTCCTAACACAAATCTGCCTGTTAGGTCACTATGTATATCCTTCTCTACTAGCAACACCCCTGAGGAAACTTCATTTCTCTTTGGTTTGAGCTTCCAATAAAGCCCCTGCATAGCAGACTGCACTGGAGTGGAACAGCTTTTGAATCTTGAGGGGGCAGCAAACTAGACAGGGTGGCTGTGCTGTGGAACAGAGCTGGGGAAAATAAAGTGTTCCAAAACAGTGAGCACCTAGAGTGGCAAAATCCAGGGGAGGGGAAGGACTGGGTAAAGAACGCCCTTTACAGAGCTCTGGGGTCCTGAATGAATTGGGAATCCTGAAAAATGTAATCTTGTTAAAATGCACTGTAGCTGCCTTCCAAGATCCACTGGGAGCAGTGGATGATCAGGCAAACCAGTGTCTTGGAATAAAGAAACCTGGGACAAGGGAAAGGTGTGGCGCCAAAGGTCATGTCTTCCTGGGGTGGTAGGCCCTACTTCAATCAGGGAATCCCATAGGACTCCTATACATGTGCAGGGAAGCTGCTCTGACGCACTGTAAATAATCAAGTCTGCTGGAGCATGGTAATTACCTTGCGCACTTCCCAGCAGAACCAGAAGTGGACCAGAAGTACTTCCAGTGCAATTGCAATGGAATACATCTTTAATTTCCCAGCCTGTGTGTCTGCTTGCTGCTTGCCTGTCAGGCAAAGTGGGCCTTGAGGAAACTTTCAGAAACAGGTTTTTAGAAATCAATTAACCTGCGCTATTGCCCTGGACTATTGTTCTAATGCATATCTACTTTACCTACAAGCCAATTCCCAAAAGTAAACCCCTAAATACCATTTTCTAGGCATCAGAGGTATTCAAGAATAGTTTGGTGAGCCACTGGTTGGGAATGTGAGACTCAGCTCCGGAGGGTCCTGGCTACGGTCTTGCCTCTCCAGGTCAGAATCAAACTGACGCTGCATTAGGGTCAGGAATGAATTTTCCCCTGATCAGATTGGTACAGACATGGAATGAAGGGTGGAGGGGAGGGGGGAAGTTGCCTTTCTCTGCAACAGGGACATAGCCTCTGTCTGTGATCTCTGAGCAGCTGCTGAGGGGCTGCACTGGGGCAACTCCTGCAGGCAGTGCCAGCCGATTCAGCTCAAATTTTACTTCAGCCTCCATATATTTCATTTAAGTCTAGAAAAGATGCCAAAGAGTGAAAAAGCCACCCCTATTGACCGAATTGGCTGGAGGGCCACACACAGAGCGTGGTGGTGGATGGGTCTTTTTCAACCTGGAGGGACGTGGCCAGTGGGATTCCCCAGGGCTCGGTCCTTGGGCCCCCACTGTTCTATATCTTCATCAGCAACTTGGACAAGGGGGTGAAAAGCACCTTGTTCACATTCGCAGATGACACTAAGATGTGGGGAGAAGTGAGCACGCTACAAGGGAGGGACAGGCTACAACTAGATCTGGACAGGTTATAGAGGTGGGCGGATGAGAATAGGATGTGTTTCAATACCAAGGTACTACACCTGGGGAGGAAGAACCAGCAGCATACCTACAGGCTGGGGAACTCCCTTCTCATCAGTGCAGAGACAGAAAAGGATCTTGGAGTCATTATTGATTCCAAGATAAACGTGGGCCGCCAATGTGGGGACGGGGTAGAAAGGGCTAACCACACTTTGTCATGCATCCACAGATGCATCACAAGCAGGTCCAAGGAGGTGATCCTCACCCCTACTCTGGGGGTTTTCAAAAGGAGGCTAGACAATCACCTGGCCGGGGTCGTTTGACTCCAGCATTCTTTCCTGCCCATGGGAGGAGGTCGGACTTGATGATCTGCTCAGGTCCCTTCCGACCCTACCAACTATGATACTATGAATTGTTCCATTTGGCAAGGATAAATTTCACACTGACGGTACTGTGCTGTTCTGTACTGCATGCAGCAAGGCTAGTGTAGATCACATTCGAAAGCCAATGATTGTAGAACACATGGAAAATGCCAAGCATGAACGGCGCGTGCCCCCAGCGGCTGGGGGGGCACAGTGGCAGCAGGAGCACAGTGGCAGTAAGTGCAGAGCTTCCGCAGACACCGCTGGTGCTGTTGGCGGTGGGGGAGGGTGGCAAGTGCTGACCAGGGGTTGTTGATGACTCACAGGTGCTGCTGGCAATGTTGGCGGTGGTCACAGACCGCTCGCAGACGCTGCTGGCAGTGTCAGTGGTGGAACGGCGAGCAGCGACCACCCACAGGCACCGCAAACAGTGTTTGGTGGCGCCTTTTTGTAGGGGGTGCACCACCATGCTCAACAAGTGCACGTGCACCCGTGTGCACCCCCTACATGCCGCCCCAGTGCTAAGCATAAACAGAACAAAAAGAGATGAAGAGAAGATGTTGAAAGAGTAGGGTCGTCAACAGCAGTAAAGAAACAATGTGCTGTGTGCGTGACTGCAGCATTGGAGTGTTCTACATTTGCCAAAGACCACCATGACATTGTCATTTTGGATTTTTTCCACATGCGTATAAAAGCAGACTTTCCTCTACACGGGAGGGAGTGAGTGGGGGATAGGCATGGGCTGTGGGTTGGGAGTGTGGAGCACTGGCAGGGATGGGGGAGCTGTGGCTTGGGAGTGAGGGGCACTGGCATATCAGGGCTGCTCACTGCCACAAAGCGGGGTGGGGAGGGCAGCCACAGCTGGACTGACATTCTGGTGAGCAAAGGGGGCAGGGGGAGTTCTGATTTTCCATGATAAAAAAACCAACAGAATCAAATGCCATATAGGTATTTAGAATTAATTTTATTATAATGACGAGCAGAAGTACTAGTTCTTCGCCCAAATAAAATTCTTGTTATTTTTGTAATTGCTGTGTTTGTGTATTTTCAAAGAACTTAGTACAACATATTTAACATTTAATATTTAATGTGTGGTGAATAAAAAAGGTAAGCGTCAATATAATAATGGCAATTGAGCTGAAAAAAAAAGGCAAGCGTCAATACAATAATGACAATTGAACTGAATTTCATAGATTTTCATAGATTTCAAAGACATTAGGGCTGGAAGAGACCTCGGAAGATCTTCAAGTCCAGCCCCCTGCCCCAGGGGCAGGAAGTCAGCCAGGGGTCATAGGATCCCAGCAAGATAAACATTCAAATTTCTCTTTCTCTTAAAAGAATTCACTGCATCCAAAACGGAGTGGTACCAGTTTGTTATCTGAGAAGCAAAGTAACCCCAGTCAATGGAAGCCCTAAAAAGGGTCAAGTGAAAAATACCACACCTATCTTTTTTTTGGGGTGGTATTCAGTGATTTTGGAAGGTTTAGAGTGGATAGGACCAGCCATTCTTGAGTTACAAGTGAATATACATACATACAGACATACACTTCATTGTATATATTTTGAAGCACTGGTAGACTTCCAGACTGCTTTAAAATGGTAAATATATCAGTAAAACATTGTGTTCAACTGATATACATGTATTAGTGGCATTTCATTTTAAATGCAGAAAAACAGGGATTGGGGTTTTTTTTAATTAGAGAGTTTTGGATGTTTTAACAGAGAAACCCAGGATCTCTGATAACGAACCTTGAAGTCAGTTGATTCCCTCAGCTCCACCTGAATAGAAATGCAGCTGTTGCTGTCAGGCAGCTTGTTTTAAACCAGTGGTAGTCAACCTTCCAGCCCCATGGGCTGGATGAGTGGCTTTGGGGCTAGGCCAATGGATGGGATTCTTGATGCAAGGTTGGTGCACAGGTACAATCTTATGCACTGGCCCAAACCTGTGCATCAGTTCCAGCTTTTAAGTGACTCAGCACACCAGTCCACCTCAGACTGGTGTCATCTGATGCAAAGGGCCATGTCACCCTGCCCACAACACTCCCCATAAATCTAGAAATCTTGCAGCAGGGAAGCGGCTATTAATATGGATACCATTCCCCTGCCATCAAATTTCTAGCCCTGTGGAGAACCCTGTGGATTGAATGAAATGATGCCACATGACATATTTGGCCCATGGATCAGAGGTTAAGCACCGCTATTTTAAACTTCAAAAGTAGAGCAGAGGTAAAAGAGGGGTGTGACTGCACCACTGCATCCCTCTGGATCTGCCCCTACCTTCTACTGTCACATTCTCAACTAGTTCCTTCCTATTTGTTAGCAGCAAGTTGCAACAAAGAAAGCTAAGTCAGTTAAGTCTTAGCCTGCAATTCCAGTGGGGAGCACTTTGTGGGGCTCAGAGAGGGTAGGATTTACTGTAAACAATTCTTGTAAATAGTTCCCTAAATAGGGCATCTATATGCCCTTTTCACCCCAGGGGCAGATAGCAGTCTAGGACTGGCAGCTGGGCCTGGAGACTGCTCTCTGGTTCCCGCTCGCTTGATGTTTCATTGTCCTGGGTGAGTGTTGTCCCCATAGGTTACTATAGTTATTATTAGAGGTGCACCAATACATTGGTCCCATATCGGATTGGCACCAATATAAGGAAAATTGACAGTATCGGCAATCATTTTTTTTTGGCTGATGTGGCTGATAATGTAGCCAATAAACCCTCCATGCATGCGCGCAGCTGCAGTGTAGCATGCAGGGAGCCAGGAGCACAGCACAGCAGCATGGAGAGCAGCCAGGTCTGGCTGGCAAGTCTGTTATGGGGGAAGGGGCAGGGGGACAGAAGGGGCGGGGGGGCAAATCAAAGCCCCTGCAGTGAAGGATGGAATGGGGCTGTGGCTGAGACAGGGGCTGCCCAGCTAGGGCAGGGCAGGACACAGGATGGAGCTGCGAGTGGCTCGTCCAGGGGGTTTGGGGGGCTGGCTCCCACTGTTATGCACACCCCAGGATGCCATGGGTGGGGGGGGACATGTACCGAGCTCTTCCTGGCAGGGGGGCTTGGCTGGGCTGCATTTGGGGCAGGTGACAGTGGCTCTGGGAGGGGGGCTACAGCAAATTTTCAGGTAGGTGTAGCTCCCCCCCACCATGGCCTCCTTCCCAGCACCACCACCGCCTGCCCTGGGCACAGCCTGGCCCAGCCTCCCTGCCAAGAAGAGCTCAGCACAGCCCTAGCCCTAACCTGCAGCGGCAGCCCACCTTCACCCTGCCACAAATCCAGGGGGCATCAGATGAGCAGCTCACAGCTCTGTCTCTTGCTCCGCCCCAGCTGGGCAGTGCCTACCCCAGCCCCACTTCCTCCCTCAGCAGCAGTAGCAGTGCCAAATGTGTGGCCAGAGCTGCTGCTGCTGCATCAGATGCTGCTAGGCTGGGCCAGGCTAAAGCAACCATGTGCTCCATGCCCCACCGTGGAATGGGGCTGGAGCCCTGTTGGGGCTGGGACAGTGGCTGGAGCTGGAGGGTAAGTGGCAGTGGGGATGGGGTAGAGGGGTTCAGGCAACTTGGGAGGGCAGGTGCCAGGGGTGCAGGTATGCGGGGCAAGTAGCAGGTTGGCAGGCACCCTGGGGGTGCTGGGGTATGCAGGCATGAGGAGAGGCAGGCAGCAGGGGGTAGAAGTGGGGAGGACAGGTGTCAGGGGGCAAGGGTCAGGGATCAGGCTGCTTGATCTACTGCCTTCCCAATTTCCTGCCCACTTGCCACTGCTTTCTCCATTGCAGTGAGGTTTGGGGGGTGGAGGAGGAAATGCTATTTTTCAATGCCACCAAAGCCATCTATGGCCCAGGCACTCAGGGACCATCCCCCTTGAGACCTAAGGATGGAAGAGACCGGATCAAGGAAAGGGGAGCCATCAATGCTCATTGGAAGGAGCATTTTGAAGACCTTCTTAGTTGAGGTTGTTGTTGACTAGAGTCTTCTCAACTCCATCCCTCAACACCCAGAGAGGATCTTGGAATCCCTCCAGCCCCTGATGAGGTGAGGAAAGCCATCAAGCAGATGAAGAATGACAAGGCATCTGAAACTGATGGAATCCCCACCAAAATCTTCAAGCAGGAGGGAGAGGAGTCACCATCACAGCTCCATGTCCTCATCTTAAGGATTGGAATGATAAGGAAATGCCAGATGACCTCAAGGATGCCTTGGTTGTGACAGTTTTTAAGAAGGGATACAAGTCGGAAACTGTGGAAATTACGGAGGGATCACCTTGCTGTCTCACCATTGTGAGAACCCTCCTGAACCGTCTCCTTCCACTTGCTAAAGAGCTCCTTCTGGAATCTCAGTGTGGGTTTTAAGGCATCGAGAGGCACAACTGACGTGATCTTCACCAGCTGCAGGAGAAATGCCAGGAACAACATAAGCCTTTCTACATGGACTTCTTTGAACTTATGAAAGCCTTTGACTCTGTCAACCGAGAAGTACTGTGTTTGGGCTGATTTTTAACAAGCCATTTGCCCAATACCAATCCGACTGCTGATATGCAGCCTGGCAGCTTGGAAAGCAGCATCGGGCTGGTAAATCTGTTGTGGGGGAAGGGGTGGGGGGAGGGAAGGAGTGGGGGGTGAGGGCAGATCTAGGCACAGAGCAATCCTAGGCACCTTCTTTTGGAGGCTGGATCCATTGCTCAAGGGTCCCAGGGCAGCATGGAACAGACGGGATGAACATAGGTTCATGCAGAAAAAAATCTTAGGCTGTAATTGCTTGAGTGGGTGGGGGAATGGAAAAGGAGAAGAGAATGACATGGGTTTCTGATTCCCTTGGTTCAGCAGCTGAAGGGCATGGAGTGAGCTGCTGTCCATTATATATTCACACACTGAATTTTGATTGGCTGATGGCTAAGACAATGACAAAGTTTTTCCCAATGTTCAGTCCAAAACTACCTTGTTGCAATTTCAAACCATTGTGACATCTCCTATTCACTTTTTCTCCACTGCTTCAGAGTTCTCCATCTTCTTTATTGCAGTAGTCTTCAAATATCTGAAGGGCTCTCTTCTCCCCTCTTAATCACCTTTTCTGCAAGCTGAACACATTTATTTCTCTTAACCTCTCCTTATATGGTTTACCTTCCAGGGCCTTTAGTATTGTCACCCAGTTTAGACCATCTTTAACATCTCCACACCTTTTTTAAAATGCAGAGCCCAGAACTGCACACAATACTCTAGATCAGTGGTGCTCAACTTTTTTGGCCTGTGAACCAAAGGAATAGTGCTTGATCCCTTTGCAGGCCAGATCCAGCAGGTGGACCCAATCCAGTGCCCTGGATGAGCACGGCAGGGCCCCATCCAGCCACACAGAGGAGAGCAGCCCAGCCCTGTGGGGGAAGGGGGCTTGGCCTGGCCCCATGCTGGGAGCAGGGAGGGGGCATGGCCCAACCCTGCAAGGGGAAGGAGATGGGCCCTGGCCCCAACCTGACTGGGCAGAGGGAACGGGGCATGGATCACCCCCAATGTGGCCTGGTTCCTACCTGCCTTGCAGGACTTAGGATTTTGCCAGCGGTGAGGGCTGGCAGTACTCCAAGACCATTTATAGACATGATCCAGGAGGCAGGAGGGGAGGGGGGGACTTTAATTAGGACAACTCTAAGAGCCACGCTAATTAAAAGCACCTAGAGTATCACATGTATCAGTGTCCCCACACTGAAAAATGGCAGCAGGGCACTTTGAACTAAAGCTTGTCAAATGAGGCTTAAAGTCCAACACTATTTTTCAGAGCAGGGATGCTGATGCACGTGACACTGGAGTCAGCTGGAGCACGTTAATTACCATGCTTCAGCAAACTTGATTAATCAAGTCTGCTCCAACGCACCGTAATTACAGCACATCAGAGCAGCCTCCCTGCATGCGTATAAGATCCCCAAGGCTCTGCAGGCCGTGTTTGGCTTGTGGGTTAGAGATCTAGACTTCAGGAAGGCCTTCGATACAGTATCCCACCCCATACTGGTGAACCAGTTAAGAGGCTGTGACTTGGATGACTACACAGTCCAGTGGGTGGCGAATTGGCTGGAGGGTCACACCCAGAGAGTCGTGGTGGATGGGTCGGTTTCGACCTGGAAGGGTGTGGGAAGTGGGGTCCCACAGGGTTCGGTCCTTGGACCGATACTCTTGAATGTCTTCATCAGTGACTTGGACGAGGGAGTGAAATGTACTCTGTCCAAGTTTGCAGATGACACAAAGCTATGGGGAGATGTGGACACGCCGGAGGGCAGGGAACAGCTGCAAGCAGATCTGGACAGGTTGGACAAGTGGGCAGAAAACAACAGAATGCAGTTCAACAAGGAGAAATGCAAAGTGCTGCACCTAGGGAGGAAAAATGGCCAGCACACCTACAGCCTAGGGAATGACCTGCTGGGTGGCACGGAAGTGGAAAGGGATCTTGGAGTCCTAGTGGACTCCAAGATGAACATGAGTCGGCAGTGTGACGAAACCATCAGAAAAGCCAATGGCACTTTATCGTGCATCAGCAGATGCATGACGAATAGGTCCAAGGAGGTGATACTTCCCCTCTATCGGGCGCTGGTCAGACCGCAGCTGGAGTACTGCGTGCAATTCTGGGCGCCGCACTTCAAGAGGGATGCGGATAACCTGGAGAGGGTCCAGAGAAGGGCCACTCGTATGGTTAAGGGCCTACAGACCAAGCCCTACGAGAAGAGACTAGAGAAACTGGACCTTTTCAGCCTCCGCAAGAGAAGGTTGAGAGGCGACCTTGTGGCTGCCTATAAGTTCATCACGGGGGCACAGAAGGGAATTGGTGAGTATTTATTCACCAAGGCGCCCCCGGGGGTTACAAGAAATAATGGCCACAAGCTAGCAGAGAGCAGATTTAGATTGGACATTAGGAAGAACTTCTTCACAGTTAGAGTGGCCAGGGTCTGGAACGGGCTCCCAAGGGAGGTGGTGCTCTCCCCCCCTACCCTGGGGGTCTTCAAGAGGAGGTTAGATATGCATCTAGCTGGGGTCATCTAGACCCAGCACTCTTTCCTGCTTATGCAGGGGGTCGGACTCGATGATCTATTGAGGTCCCTTCTGACCCTAACATCTATGAATCTACTCTAGATTAGACCTAACCAGTGCCAGGAAGTATTATCACCTCCCATGTCATACATCTAGTACTCCAGATGATGCAGCCACAAATACAGTTGCAAAAAAAAGGCAAATGCATCACATAGCCAACTCATATTGAACCTGTGATCAATTAAGATCTCAATCTCTTTTCCCACAGGACTACCCTTCAGTTATCACCTGTTCTGCATTTGTTCATTTTTGCCTGTGTAGCACCTTTTCATTGTTGACAATACCTTTACCCTTTTCATTGTTCCTTTTCAATATCATGATCCTTCTGTATTCTACCCTATTGTCCATTCTGTTTACAAACGTTCCCAGTTTTGCATTGTTTGCAAATTTGCTAAGGAAGCTCTCATTTCTGGCATCCAAATAATTAATGAACATACCAATTAGAAGTCTTTTACACACTACCTGGAGTGCAAAGGCATTGGGAGTACACATCTGAAGTACTTCCTAAAGCTAAAACCACCAAGAATGTGTTAGAAGCTCCGTCTCTAGCCAGGCAGTTGAGAAGAACTAAAAAGCAGGAAGCATGTACCACCTTTTATCCTTTTGGTACAGAAGTATAAGGAAGGGTGGACCTGAACCATGCTCTCTAGGTAGTCAGAAGGCAAAAAGACTCCAGTCAAAGCAGAGGGTGGGAGATGCATCCAAAATTGAAAATGTGTATGCAGACAAAACTTGGAGAACCAATGGCTATATTAATAAAAATGGAGACATCTCTTCTGAACCTTAGGACTGTGGAAAGTGCATGGCTAAGTTAATCAAGATTCAGATAAGCAAGAAAGAGCCAGAAACTTTGAAATGGCCATTTTATTATTTTTCACTCTAAATTAACAGTGGCAAGAAATTATGTGGTCCAGACTAAACGAACAGATGCTTTACTCCTCAGGTAATGCTATAAGTTGTTTCTAACATTGGTTGAGAATTTTCTTCCACCAGAAAGTAAATTCATACATAAAAAATTAACTGAATTTAAACAAGATATGGAGAATTATAGAAAAGAAAGATACAAAAAGCACCAAGACAATGACAGTTGATTCTTCCAAGCTATTTTGTTGCTTTGATTATCATATTACAAATCCGATTTCAAACACCAGGAATTAAAAAAATTTAACGGAGTGTGACCAGCTCTTCTGCTGAAGTAGGATGAATGGCAATGGTGTTATCAAAGTCAGCCTTTGTTGCTCCCATTTTGATCGCCACTGCAAAGCCTTGCAGCATTTCATCACATCCCAGTCCCTGCATATGCAGTCCTACCACCTTCAAAGAATAAGAGAAAATTTGTATCCATGAGTATGCAAGATTAGTCATAAGTGAAACAGCTGGGGAACCTATACCAGAGGTGTCAAATATACCACCTGTGAACCAGATTCGGCCTGTGGAGCAACTCTATCCAGCCCACCAGGCTACCAGAGGGCACTGAAAGCTGGGCTTCTGCCCCCCACCCCCTCCCCAGGTCCTATGCTTCTGCCACCACTGGACCACGTATGGCCCCAGTCCCCACCACCATCGGACCCTGTACTGTCTCTGTTCCTGCCCCCCTCCCTGTGTCTTTGCTAAGGCAGCCCTCATGCCCCAGGTTAGATCCAGCCCACAAGGAGCCCTGCAGTGTGGATCTGGCCTGGGGACCCAAGTGAGTTTGACACCCCCAGACCTATACTAATTAGCATTCATTAGAGCCTTCTAGCCAAAAGGTCTTCACAGAACAAGCATACAAGCCAATAAAACTTTAAAAACTTTCAGCAACCCTGACTATGTCTGAACAACGCTTCTCTTCTAGAGTGTAGAAAATGGCTAAATTTAAATCTCCAGAAATCAGAAGATACACAGTTGGAAGCAGATGTTGTACCTTCCCTTGTCCCAAACACAACTTAAACTGTTTTCCCGGCAACTCTCACTGGGAATTGTGCCATAAATGTGGCACAAAGGTTATAGCTGCTAAGGGAATTTGTAGATTCTCAAAACCTACAAATGCAGACTGAATGCCTTTCTGGAAGACAGACTTTGGTTGGATTAGGAGACTGCATTATTATGTAGGAATAATGAGAAATAGGATACCTCATTCTACACATGCCAGGTTTTTTGATCTAATGCCCCCTTCTGGTTTTAGAACGGCATGGACCTACATTAAGTAGATGTGAAGAAGAGCGAAGAATGTGACACTATTGTGTAGATTTGACTTCCAGTATGTATCTTCATGCCTGCTAACTACTTTCAGCATTAATTAGTGATCAAATTAACTGACCTGAAGCAGCTTGCCAGAGTCGTGACTGAGGAGAGGAGCATGTGAACTCTAAGGAAACAAGTATGCCTCATTTCTGTGCTCAGTTTGTGGGGGCAGGAGTATGATATTGCCCCAGGGATTGTCAACATGGCAGTGGTTTTGAGGGCTTAATAACAGCTTCAGAAGGAATTTTCAGGATCAAAGTGAAGGGAAGGAAATATTTAGCGAGTCTGGGATGGTTTGTGTGTTAGTCTGGATGGCCATTATTAACTATGCCTTCATAGCCTTAAGGCTAGACTACTGCTCTGTCATCTACATAGGGCTGCCCCTAAAAAATGTTCAGAAGCTGCAGCTAGTGCAGAACATGGCTGTCTGCCTTCTGATGAGGTGGGAAGCTGAGGAACAACTCCAGCCCTCCACCGTCTGCACTGGCTCCCAGTATCTTCTCAGGAGCAATTCAAGTTTTGATGATTAAGGCCCTAAATGGCCTGGGCCCTACATACCTAAGGGACTGCCTTTTCCCTTGTACCCCATTGTGATCCTTAAGGTTAGCCAAGAGCAACCTCCTATAAGTACCATCAGTATGCAAAGTACACTTGGTGAAAACACATGGGAAGCTGTTCTCAGCAGTTGCTCCTCAGCTCTGACACTCCCCCTTGAGGCCCTCCAGAGCCCAAGCCTGGACATCTTTTGGAAATACAAGACCTTTCTACTTGGGCACACCTAGCTAGACCCAGATGTTGTTCAGTGGATTTCTGCTTTATATATTACTTTATGATAGGTGCCCTTTTACAGTGTTCTGTTTCTCTTCCTGTAAGCTGTCCTAAACCTAAGCTGTTAGATAAAAACACATAAATAAATGCATCAAAAATATTTGAGTACAAGTCAGACGCAGGTAGCTCCTGAAGTTTGTGCCTTCCTAAACCCAACTTTGCATTAGGAATAAAAAGGTGTACTAGATTTTACTACATTAGTTATCTGCTAACAGCATTCTGTAGCATCTGTAAGAACAGAATACTAGCATGTGTATTATATATAAATATGTGCTAGATTTTTTTTCAGTCAGACTCTTCTGTGGTGTTAAGTCAAACACTTTACAACAGCTGAGGTCTGTTTCATCTACACCAGAGCTATCCCAACATATGGCCCACAGGCATATGCTTAATGATACAGTTTGAATAAAATAAGCATGTGCTATTTTTATTTCAGTGTACAGGTTAGAAGAATAAGGGAGTCAAATCCATGTTACATGCTGATGTTTTCTAATTTTGTGCATAACTTTGCAATCTAAATAATTTTCTGTAAACATTCTTTTAAATGTAATATATAATATACATTATAAAAAGATATGGATTTATCTGGCCCAGCAGGCTACCAGAAGGCGGGCTTCTGCCACACCCTCCACCACTGGACCCTGCACTGCTCCAGCTCCTACTGCCACCAGACCTTCATAGCAAAAGATAATGTATGCATACAAACATATATAACTAAAATAAATGAGGGCTGGAATTAAACTTTCTAAATCAGCTATTTTACCTTACACTAAGGGTGTGAAACTCACTTTGCACCCCAGACTGGATTTGGACCATAGGGCTTCTTTGCAGGCTGGACTTAGCCTGGGGCACAAAGGCTGCTGACAGACGTAAACCACACCCCAATCAAAAAAGCCCCAAAAAACCAAGCCAAAACCCTAGCATTTTACCGGAAGAGGAAGCACTTTAGTTCAACCCAGCTCCCCAGCATTTGTATAGATCAGGCACTCCAGCAGGGCGTTGGCATTTTTATCTAAAGCTGATTCAATCAGCTATCAGAGAAAAGTGCCAAAAAGCCCCATTGAAGTGCCTGATCTATACAGACATTGGGTGAGCCAGGTCAAAATAATGCGATGCTTCTTTTGGGCATGCACTGTACCAAGCTTAAAGTAAAGCATTGGTTTTTTTCATGTCTGTAAAGCAGCCAATGTGTTTCCAGCCCAGGGCACATGGTGGCAGCAGCTTTAGCTTTGACGCAGGGCATAAAGTGGTGGCAACAGCTCTGGCATGGGGCATGCAACACAGCTCTGGCTTCCACCATGTATCCCATGTCAGAACTGGAGTTGCTGCTGTTGCTGTCCTGGATCAGAGATGTGTGACCTGTGCTGTGGATGAAGCTTTAGCTCCAGCATGGGGCCACAGGCTGAGGAGGTGGGGCTGTGGCAGTGGCAATGGGCAAAGTGGCTAGAAGGTGATCAGGACCTGATCAGCCATTGCTCACCCTCCTTCTGCCAACTGAAATGTCCACTAGAGCCCAAGAACTTTGGGTTGCCTATATGCGTGCTCCGACTCATTCCAATTAGAACGTGTCAGAGCAGACGCAATTAATCTTTTAAATGTAATATTTAATATAAAAAAATGATTAATCACCCAGATAAATCATTAAGTCTGCTGGACATACTGCAGTGTGTCACATATGTTCAGCATCCCACATTTCAATATGGTAGTGGGCAAGCTTTAACTAAAACTTGTTGAACAAGCTCTAGTTAAAGCGCTCCCAGGGCCATTTTGAAACACAGGAAACTGAATTCACATGACACCATGGTGTTTTAATTAGAGCAGCTGTCTCGGAGCTGTTGAAATTAAAGCGCACCCCCCCACGCCCGCAGCATGTGTATAGACATCCTTGGATTCTGCAACCCATCCCCTGGTGACACCCCTCAAATTCTGGTGACCTGCTGTTAGACCAGCAGGTGGGACAGAGTAGCTCCATAGGCCAGATCTTGCCAGTGGACTGTACATTTTCCATCCCCCCCTTACACCAAACCAACTTGAATAAGAGTGCAAAACAGCATTATCCACAGGCATCATTAAGTGTTTAATATTTTAGTTATAAGCTCTTATCACATGTTTCTTACCTTTTCTTCTCTGTCAGCACAAACCAGTTTCATTACACACTTAGTTTTTCTTTTGGTTACTGCATGATACATCGGAATAAAGGAGGTCGTGTAGATCTTCACATTCCCTGTTCCATACATAGAAATGGCTTCCTCTGGAACACACGTAAGAGATGCTGGTCTTTGAGAAATAGAAACATTACATGCACTGCAGGAACTTAAAAAGGAGCAACAAGAAGAACATTTTATGAACTTGAGACAGGGACATTTTCTGTACATTTCATTGTAAAGAATTTTATGTAAGCGATAAAAAAAACAGTTAATCACTAAGATAAGTCAGGGCCCAAGAATATTTTTAATGACTGAAATACTACATAGTGTAAAGAATCATACCCAAGATTTTAAAAGGTAACTAGTGAATCTGGACCATCAACCAGAAATATTTTAGAAAAACATGATGCTTCAAAAGATGCCACCATCTCCTATTTGAAAAATCCTTTTATATTATTAAAATATAACTCCTAAGTCACACAACTTTAATGGATTTTCAAGAAAGAAAACAAAATACATCTTAGCTAGTAACTGAGACTGCTCATAGACATTAACCCCCACCTCCCAAAACCTCCCCCACACTTTACTGGAAGAAGCAGTGTGTTAGCTCGACCCAGCGTCTGTATAGATTGGGCGCTTCAGTGTAGCTTTATGACACTTTTATCTAATAGCCGATTCAATCAGCTGGATAAAAGCGCCAAAAAAGCCCCACTGAAGTGTCTGATCCATACAGATATTGAGCGATGGGTCTAACTAATGTAATGCCTTTTCTGGGTACGCACTGGGATCGGTGTGGGAGCACATCAAGTTTAAAGTAAAATACTTTTTTTTTTTAAATGTCTTTAAGCAGCCTCAGTTACAGTGAATTAACAGCAGCCACTTCAAAAGAAAACTAAGTGTATTAAGGTTAAGAAATGCAGTTACGGCCAGTCACTTTAACCCAGAGGCGGGCAATTATTTTGGGCAGAAGGCCGCTTACTGAGTTTTGGCAAGCCATCGAGGGCCACATGACAGGCAGCCAGGGGCAGATAAATATTAATTTTCTAAATTTTTTAGGGGCCCCGCAGGCCGGATAGAATGGCCTGGCGGGCTGCATCCAGCCTGCGGGCCGCATTTTGCCCACCCCTGCCTTAACCCTACCCTGTGAAAGACTCAGAGTATGAACAAACATTCTTTTGAAGTGCTTCAAATCCTACCCCATTTCAAAATATTTCAACTTTGGAACATTTTAGTCATAATGACTTACAGGGCCCTCCAATTTGAAGTGCTAGGAAATAGTCACAATGCCATGGTGTGGCAGAGCTCTGTAGTTAAGAACCTGGAGAGATCCCTGCATGCCTTTCAAGCCTTAAAAAGCCCAACCCCCTTTTCCCTAGGGTAGTGGCTCCTATTACAATGCTGACATCTTCCTGTGTACACCCCTGCTATGCATGCAGAAATCCACCCCTAAAAGGTCAGAGCAGGCTTTGCAGCCATTAATGCCTCTACCACCTCTACCCCACCCAGAACCTGCAGGAAGTGCTCTGCCCTGGGGAGGGAAGGAATGTTGCGAGGAACAAGCAATAGGTGGGGAGGAATTTGGGGTCTCAAGGGGGGGGGGGGTTAAGGGGGGGGGGGGGGGCAGAAGAGGTCCCTAGGAGAGAGTTCCCCAACACTCTGTCTCACATGCGCACTACTCTCTCCCTTATCCCTACAGCACACCCAAAGCTGGCTACCACTGCCCTCTACCTTCAACATATAGAAAGGAACAGTTAGGTCTTGGGGGAGTGTCTAGCTTAGGGGTGGGCAAAATATGGCCTATGGGCCGCATCTGGCCCGCCAGGCACTTTCATCCAGCCTGCAGCACCTCCCAATGAATTGTGCCCTGCCCAGCCCTTCTTCCCACGAGGATGGGAGCGAGGCACCTAAGCCTGCCCCCAGCAAACTCTATTGTGCCTCATTCCCACCCTTGTGGGTGGAAGGGCCGGCCCGCCCCCATGGGAACAGAGCTACTGCTGCAGGCTTCCCTGGTGTCCTGTTCCCTCCAGGCAGCAGGCAGGGAAAGGGTGGGGGTGGACAGGACGGCCTGCAGCTGGGCTGGAGCGCAGAGATGGGGCTGGGGCTTGCTGCAGTGTGGAGCCTGTGCCCAGGGGGGTGGCAGCAGCACAGAGCTGGGGTGGGCAGC